TTTGGAAGTTAAACTTATCTGTAAGTCTTTGAATATGCAAAATCTTGATTTATCGTAAAATGGAAAAACATTACCTCCTTTAAATTGAAAATTGTAAATTTCATTAATTTTCAGTTAACAGAAACTTCAGTATATATGTACATATGACAGTTAATATGTATATATATTGTTTATTACATCAATAAGGGCCATTTGCTGATTAATTTTACGTTTAAATGAAATTGTAAAAATAAGTTTTTAATATAAATGGAAATTGACACATTTTCTAAAAATATCGCATAATTGAACTACAGAAATTTATTTTATTAAAAACAAAATAAGATTTCATTCTCTTTTATAGCAACATGTTTACTACGACACTAGATTTAATATATTTTATACGTTGAATTCACCGTAATGATTGGACTTAGTATTACATAAGAAATTGTGACAGTGACCCAATAACATTGACTTTAAAATAGTCTTGTCGTATCAGGGTATCAATATCTTGACATTTTTATGTCCAAAATTCTAAGTAAAAGTACAGAACGTTGCTAAAAATGTTTCACTGCTTTCTCATTCAACTATTTGATAAAGAGAGATAATATTAGTGGATTATTAAACTAAACAGAGTAAAAATTATTTCATCCTTGTAACTGATATAAAATTATTAACAACAAACAGCATTTAAAATAATTTGAGTTATACCTACATTTATCCTACTTATTTCCAAAGTAATTTTAGAAAAAAGTTCGGTAGGTATATCGACTTCAATTATCAGCGTGGATTTGATATGAATGCATAATATCCATGTACTATCTTTATTTCAACTTAAAAAAAGTAAAATTTATAATAATATCCTTTTAACAAATAACATTGCGATTTTGCTGGAATATAGGAAATTTATAAAAACATATCAAGAACTGTATAACTTATTTTTCTACAAACGGCAATTCTTTAAAGTGTTGTACAAAAAACTATTAAAAAAGATATACCTAGGTAATTATTATAGTATTAATTTCTGTGATTTCAGCGTACGCTTGGGTTACACTTGCTACTAATGACTCTTACGGGTTGGGTGCTTTGGTTTTGGGACATTCACTTCGCCAATCTGGGACTCCACACCAGCTTGTAGTACTTGTTACCCCTGGGGTCACTCATTCTATGAGGTTTAACTTTTATTTTGTAAAGCAATGATTTAGTTATCGTGCACTACCGACATTTTTGTAAAATTATAAAAATTAATAACTATTTTCGTTAAAATTTCAAATAAGTACATATATCTATTTTGGCTTATGATGTATATTGCATTTGTGAATTTGGCACTTTAGTCGTTGATATTGCTAAATGGACAAATTATTGGGTTTGCTATAAAGATAAATTTTAATTGTGAATTTTTTTAGAGAAACGCTTAAATCGGTGTTTAATGAAGTACGAGAAGTTAATATTGTGGATTCTAAAGATGAAGCCAATTTAAAGCTACTGAGTCGTCCTGAATTGGGAGTAACTTTTACTAAGTTACATTGCTGGCGGCTAACGCAATTCCAAAAATGCGTTTTTTTGGATGCAGACACGATGGTATGTTTTATTTTTAGATAGTTTTATATCTTATTGCCGCATTTATATATAGTAGCTGATGTTTGAAACCTTAAAATAACGTATACATACTGGTCTTAATGTGTTTGTATGTTGACGGTTTACAACTATGCGCCAACTTTATTTTGCGTATATTACTCAAGTGCGTAAATACAGGTTTTTGTAATGAACTTAATCAAGAAATATTATTACGGTTTGTAAAGACGCTAAACATTTAATTTGTCGACAAAATTAGAGAACGTATTTTCTTCAAATGTAATTTTTAGAGTAGGTAGGGAACTGTTTATAATATGTACAATTTATCAGTAGTCAAACGTAAGAAAAAACCAAAACATAAACGCTGCTGTATTTTACGTCATGTTTATATTGTCATTGCAATTTTAAAGAATAATAAATATTGGCGAAGATTCATTCAAAATTTATATACTGTTGCTTACAATGTCAGCTAATAATAAACTTGTTATATATGTGCATTTACGTTTTAATTTAATGGACTATATTTTTTACAGTTTTAAATAGGTCAGTGTATGTTCTGTAAATTATTTAGCTATCTTTCTGCAAAAATATCCGTATATTAAAAATTTAATGAAAACATTTTCTGAAGTTTCTGTGTTTTTAATATATTTTATAACTCACTCTATCTGTTATTCATCAAAGGCATAAAACAAACGTATATGTAAATAACGCATTTGCCAAGTTTCGCAAAATTTTGTTTAGTACAGAATAAATTCTCTCAATTCTTTTATAATCGGAAAGTTGGACACAAGATTTCAACGTCATCCAAAATATGAAAAAAATTTACGGTAACTTGTGAGGATTATAAGGGAGGAGGTATGTTTCTAAGCTGGCAAACAGCAACAACGATTAGTTACAGAAGGTGGAAGTTATCAAGTTTTTTAAAAGTTGTAAGAAAAGAGGTGGACTATAGGGGTGGAGTAGACAAAAATTATTGCAAAAACATGTCTTTACATGTATTATTTCTTCGTAATGGACTATCCGCTTGCACAAAAACATTAGTCCCCTCCCTCCTATTCTCCTATTACTATCTGAACATGTTAAAATTCGTTTATATTCCGAGTGATAACGTTGAAATCTCGTACCCAACTCTTGAATATTAATCAATGCTGTGTAAATTAAATAGTTCACATATTGGTGAATGACCATTTCTGTAGTGACTACTACAAATATCCGACCCTGATGTACAATTTATATCTACACAAATTAAAATTTTTATCTTTTGAGCGTTAACAAGTTAACATTTTTAATATTAAAAGTTGTTAGTTAGGTTTTAACTGAGTCATGAGTCTACAAAATGCGGTTTTTTTTCTCGTTACTTAAAATAAAGATAAAAGGCTTGCGAATGACGAAATGTTAGCATTTTGCGAATCTTGATGCGGTTGAAACCCAGAAAACCAACTGATAGTAATGTTAATTAATTTTTGTAGGTGCTAGAAAATGCAGACGAGCTTTTTGAGCGAGAAGAACTTTCTGCTGCCCCGGACGTCGGCTGGCCTGATTGTTTTAATTCCGGGGTTTTTGTTTATGTTCCTTCAAATGATACATACGAATCGTTAATAAATTTCGCCTTAACTAAAGGAAGTTTTGATGGTATGAGTTTTGTCTTATCCATGTAAATTAACGTTTTTAAACTAACTTTTGGATCTGATATTACAGGAGGAGATCAAGGGCTTCTTAACTTGTACTTTTCCGACTGGGCTTATAAGGATATTAACAAGCATTTACCTTTTATTTATAATATGTGCTCAACCGCATGTTACTCGTATCTGCCAGCTTTTAAACAGTAAGTGAAATAAATATTCTTGAAATGAAAGAGTAGTGTTTTAAATGATATCCTTTTGCTGAAGGTTTGGTTCCAACGTGAAAATAGTTCATTTTATTGCCCAAACAAAACCTTGGTTGCAAATATTCGATCCTGAAACTAGACAAGTGAGACCAAGCCCAGATTTGGTACATTTGACTAGTCTTCTACAACGTTGGTGGAACATTTTCTGCTCTGCAATTCACCCACAGTTATCTACTGAGATGGTAAGAGTTGTTTATTCCTTTAATTTCAATTTAACGATATTTTACAATAATTGATAAGATATCATTTTCGTAATCTAAAAGCATACATATGAGACTAAGGATTTGACAGGAAATGTAAGTTTTGGAAAAGGTGGGTTGTGCATTAGATCTTTTTTTACGTGCTGCATGTTTTTTTTTAGATAAGTACGTTTATTGTACTTAGTGAAAAAAATAGTAAAGTTTTAGTCTCCATATAGCATCTCTTTATGTTAGCATTCCGTGTTATATTTTTTTATCGATCGAGTGTTCGTCATTTTTTATATGTTATTTTCATTGAGAATTAAAAAGATATATATATCTCAAATCTTCATTAATATTATGAAGCGAGAAAAAAATTAATAAAAATCGAACACTGGTCGTAATATAAAAATATATCGATTATCAAATTAAAGAATTTAAACAAATTTTGTTATACATTATCTTTTGACTGTGCTTTTCAGTACACTGTGGGCGATAAATAAGGCAGCAAATAAAACATTTTTTTTTTACATAATATGTGTGTTGCAAGGTTAATACAGATAAAACCGAGAATGATATGAAAAAGAGTATTCTGAATATAAAAATATTCATAATTTATAAACTTTCAATTGTTAAATGTGTTACTTC